AATTGAAGTTCTTTGTTGAAGGAAGATTGGTCATAATTGGTGGAGAAGAAGACATCCTCGTAAGTCACATTGAGTCCTACATGTATATCAGTGCTGACGAAGATTGCATAGCTACACCATTTCAAGTATTGGAGGTTGCGTCAACGATAACCTTACTGGTAGAAAAAGCCTACTATGAACTCTTGGAGAGACTTACGAATAGTAGTGGAGAATGATGACTCGAAAGGCTGGGGAAAGCTCCCTGAAATACCTGAGATATTACAGGGCTTCAGGAATGGGGGTACAAAACCATAAAAAATATTGATAAAGACAGTAAATAAAACCCTAATTTTAAACTATTAAAAACTGTGAGCAGATACATTAATTGAAAAAAAAAGAGAAAACGGAAAATAATACCGCGCGAAGATTGAAAAGGGAACCAGTTTGAAAACCATAATAATCTAATCATTTAATGAAATATTTTTGGTATTTATTAAAAAAAAGATTTGAAATTTTAACCCAATTCTAACTAAATTTAATTAAGGAAGTAAGTCAAAATAATTAAATTAAATTATTTTGCAAAAATTAATTTTAATTAAGAAAACCCCAACTCCTATTTTTAAGATTTTATGATTTAATGATTAGAATAAAATTGGTTTAAAAAGTAATATAAAACAAATTAAATAAAATAAATTAAGTAAAGAGAAAAAGGATTGGGCCTGATGTTGTAAAGGAATTTGGGGGTGTAGGCGTTGAAAATTATCTAGGCCCAAACACACAAGCCCAGACTCCTGCGTATGGTTCAGTGTTGCTGACTTCTGAAGGTCAATCATGAGCTCTCAGATCTGAAGCGCTGGATCTGATGTTATGAAGATCTGATGGTGATGGTGTGAAGACACATGGTGTGCACGCTGTAGCTTGAAGTGCTGGATATGGAATATAAATGTTAGAAAAATTAATGTGCAAGAGGCAGGGATCAAACCCCTGCCCTTACACATAACAAATCCTTAAGCACGCCGCCTCTACCGTTTGGACAATGATACTTCCACTAACCTAAACGCAATCAATTTATTAAATATTAAAACATGTCATAATCATTGACTATCAAACACGAGCGCCCAGAGTGGGGTCCTAGTATTTGGATAGGCGAATGGGAGACAACCACGCTTGAACAAGTGAGTCTGACTACCCATCACGGTGGTCAACTCCTTCTTCTCCAATGATATCAAAATTGGACCCTACAAAATAACAAGAATCAAAGAAAGATATTAAGCCTACCCCCCCCCCTAAATCATATGTTGTGAGTTCAATGATGGTATCCATTTGGCCTAAAAGTCCATGTATTGTAATATTTGAAGGTTTCAGTTTGTGATACCCTAACAATGGCATCCTGTGATTCAAGCATCAAATATTTCATTCAAAATGTCCAACCTGTTCTAATGAATGTCCTGAACACAAACCAACACATCAAACATGTCAACAATGCATGAATTATTAATTTTGAATTTATCAAACCTTACCAAATTGGTGGCTCTTAGTTACAATGATCTGGGGGTGCTACGAGCTTCAAGAATGATAGGGATGGACTCCTGGGACCTTTAGGAGTGTGATGGAGTGCTTGGATCTGATGGAGAATGGTTGGATCATACAATACAATTTGCACCTTCTCTTTGAATTTTTTGGAAATTTTTTAGGGTTATTTTAGAGGCAGTTGTGCATATGTCTTAGGTTTGGAGTTGCTGTGCATATATAGTGTATCTCATTAAAACACCAAAAAGAGTGTATGGCATTGAGTGCAAGATTTGTTTCAAATATTCACTTGAAAATATTTCTTATTTTGGACATCCTTTCCCATCTTAGCTTGCACATTTTTACCTTGACATGCCAGCATATTTTGTCCATTATTTGATAAGAAAAAGATTCCAAATCAAATCTTCCATCATTTCTATTATTTATTTATTTAATTTTTCATTTTAATGAATAAAATATCAAAATAAATAGCATGAATAATATAATAATGCATGGGTGGGCCTAGAGGTGGACCATGCTAGGAACAATTTTCAAACATGAAAAGATGGGCCCTTTTGGTTTCATTTCAATTGGATCTTCCATGTTCTTGTAAGGAGCTTTGACCCAAAAGGTGTTTTTGTTGACTTTTTGAAAGGACCTATAATGTTTGAGCTTGTATCTTTTAGCTGGGGAATTTCTTGAACTTGAGGGCTGAAGAGAAGTTGTGGGAAATTAGATCCTCTTCAAAATGAGCTTTGGTGGAAAAATTTCTAATAAAGTATGGGAAATTTATGCCTGGTCAAAGTTTGGTTGACTTTTCCTATAGAAACCCTAATTTTCCATTTTTGACTTTTGATGAGTTAGGAGCATTTCTTGAGGAATCATGATTAACTCTTGATCAAATGATGGATATTACTTCAAAATGTTGATGTTGACCAAAAATCTCGGGGTTGACTGTATATAGGCCACAATTGACTTTTGACCTAGTATAGTTGATTTTCAGGCATTTGAGCAGTTGACTGAGCAAACTTGTTGTGAAAGGCATGACATTTGGCATGGATGATCTTGAGGACATATTAGGGCCATGGAAAACATTTTGGACCCTTGGATCTCACACATCTTGATTAAAAATGAAACCCTAGTTTGAGGTTTATTGCCTTAGGACGAGAATTTGTCTGGTCAATTCTTAGTCATCCTAGGGCAAGTTGGGGACCACAGTGGGCATGTGTTGAGTAAAATGAGAGGGGAATTTTGGGGTGCAATAGCTGCCCCTGTTCAATCTTCTTAAACTTGAGGATGTAGATTTGATGGTCTGCCTTTTATGATCTGAAGGTGGAAGATGATTGAACATTAGAGTGCCCAGAAATTTGCACTCGTCTGAAATGATACTTAACTGTGTAGATAATATCGGGAATGGGCTTATATATGCCATTTGGGGAAGATGACAGAAGATTATCGGAGATGGGCTTAAAGAAGCCATCCAGAGAATATGACGGAGATTCGTCGGAGATGGGCTTAAAGATGCCATCTAGAGGACAATGTTGATTTCATGAGATATTACTTTATGGGGATTCCTATTCTTGTTGTTGAGGAGTACTCCGCTGAGGATTGTTGATCTCTATTTTTGGAAATAGTGTTTAGGAGCTTCATTTGTCCATTACTCTACTGGGGAGTCATCTCTTGATCGGAAAGACGGAAGTGAACTGTTATCTGGTCAGGATCCAGGCTTCACAGCGACTTGATGAGGATAATAAGGTTATTTGCTATCTGGTCCTATTCCAGGCTTCACAACAATCTACTGGTGGAACATGAAATTAACTGCTATCTGGTCGGACTCCAGGCTTTACAGTTTCTTTAACTACGTAAAAATTAGAAAAATCTTAGTATCGATTTAACTAAACCAGAGAAAGGTCTTGAATTATCTTCAACTAGAATAGAAATCAGAAAAATATTAGTGTCGATTTAACTGAACCAGAGGAAGGTCTTGAATTAACTTTAACTGGAATAGAAATCAGAAAAATCTTAGTATCGATTTAACTAAACCAGAGAAAGGTCTTGAATTATCTTCAACTAGAATAGAAATCAGAAAAATATTAGTGTCGATTTAACTGAACCAGAGGAAGGTCTTGAATTAACTTTAACTGGAATAGAAATCAGAAAAATCTTAGTGTCGATTTAACTGAACCAGAAAAAGGTCTTGGATTATCTTCAACTGGAATAGAAATCAGAAAAATCTTAGTGTCGATTTAACTGAACCATAAAAGATCTTTTGAGAATATATTTTTGAGGAAAATGCTGAAATAGCCCTTCGTCAGACGTAGCTTTTGAGAAGACTACTAGGTCATGTAAGTGGTCAACGATGTTTGTTGATTTGATCTTTCCTGAAAAAGGTAAAGAGTTAGTCGTATGCAATGTCATGATGTATGAAATTCATTGTGTAATGGTGTTCTCAAAATAAATGAGATTATGCTGTATGCGATGTGTATGCGAATGTCATGATTTACGAATATGGAATGTTGTTGCGGTATCTCCTAGTCTGGGAAAGTAAATCCCTGACTGCTGTTGGAAAATCTTGGGGAAGCTGAATCCCGAATCGTTGTTTGGTAGATGAGCAAAGTGATTCTTTCATCTTTGGTGGGGATGATGAATGGAGATTATTTGCCGGGGATTTCCTCTTTTCGTTTGAGGATATTTTTCCGCGGATCTTTGACTCCTGATTGAGAATGACTCTATGGGGAAAAGATGCTCTGTTGGAAGATTTTACCAATGTAGAGAAATAAACTCTATTGGGGGATAAACTTCCGCAGCTAGAGAAATAAATTCTACCTGGTAAGGCTTTATAAATTTTTCGAAATTATAAAAACTTAGCTGGGGAACATGGATTTCAGCCCTCTGAGGGAATTTAGTTGCAGGAGTTAATTCCTGCTTGGGGAGGCAAAGTTAAGGATTTTGGTTGTTTTTACTCTGCGGGAACATAAGCATCACTAGGACGTATGATGAGGATGTGACAGGAGGATTCCCTTGTTCCTGATGGAAAGAGTAAATGTCGATACTACAAATAGGTTGTTTAGACTTTGACCCGTTTCTTAAAGTCATTAGCAACTGTCTTCCTGTTGCATATGCAAGTATTTGTAAACAGTAATCATATTCAAATGCATATGTCGAAAATGATCACTGGACGTTTTTGCAAAACAAAACATAAAAATAGAAAAAAAAATAGTTTTGTACTTTCAAAGAAATGATTTGCATTGATTTTTAAGTTTTCCTAGAACAGGCATTTCTTGTAGAAAGAGACTGACGTTCTAGTAGGAGAACACCGTCGTGAAAATGAAAAATATACAAAATAGTGTACAAAGAGAAAAAAACTATGTGTAATAATCCCATTGAGTTTCAATTATGTTATTGCCCCTATGCCCCTATGCCCCTAAGCACCAGTGCACGGTATCAATCCCAGCGACTCAAGACGAGACAATCCCCTCTTCTTGGACGAAAACCATGCGGTGGTCGATGACATGGACGGTTACCTCAATAACCTTTCCCTCGAATACGAATCTGTCTGGGACACCAAACCAGCTTGGTGTCAGCCATGGACAATAGCACTAACAGGGGTTTCAATTGTTGCTATTAGTTGGTTGGTTTTTCAATCTGTTGTTGTTACTTCAGCCATATCCCTACTCATTTTTGCATGGTGGTACATCTTTCTTTATTCTTATCCCAAGGCTTATTCAGCTATGATTGCTGAGCGCAGAGAAAGGATTACAGATGGTGTTGAAGACACGTATGGTCGTAGGAAGTAGCAGTGACTTGAATTGAATTGTTTCCTTCAAAACACAAGAAAAAGGAAAGGTTGTCATTTTTGCTGCTGGAACTGGAAATCCATTCTTTACCACAGACACTGCCGCATCACTTAGATGTACGGAAATTAATGCAGAGGTTGTACTCAAAGTTACAAATGTTGACGGAGTATTTGATGACGACCCAAAGCATAACCCCCTTCTCTTCACCACACAACAACTCCACCCACCTTCCATTATCATCACCTTCACATTCTGTCAAAGAAAAAACGCAACATCACCAATCATCAACAACCCATCCCAACCTCTAGCGCTAACCCATTCTGCCTCCTTCTGTTACCCACATGCCGTTCCCAAATTCCTCACTTCATTTTCCACAAACCACATCGCCATACCCCTGCAATTCCGTCCCTCACCCTCCTTCAGTCCACCATCCACCTTCTTCTAGCTTCCGTCAACACCACCGTGCCGCTGCCAGTTTCAAAAACTCTGCCATCAGTTTGTCAATCTTCTACCGCGAATTCTAGATCAAGAAGAATGGTTAAGAGACGAAGAGGAAGTCTGCTATTGGCTCACGATGAGGTTTGAGAAGTCAAAGTAGGAAGCTTTAAGTTATTTTCTTTCTAACTGTTGAGGTAAAAGAGGCGCAGCCTCTAACATGCTGTTGTGTTCTTGTTTTTTTTCTATTGTTTAGTTTATTAGAGTTAGTAAAATTTAGGTTAAGTTTAGTATTTCTTTCTGGACTTAATCCTAATGTTAATCTAGCCATATTAACCCCCCCTAATTTACTTATGTACCCCAAGACTATTTATTTGATTAGTTTAGCTTTAATTTATTTAACATATTTCATTAGTTAATTAAGTTAATTATTTATTTAGGTTAATTAGTTTTAATTAATTAAAAAAATATAAAAAATATTAGTAAATCTTATATTTAGATTTAGTTTAGTATTAATTTAGAATTTTTTAATTAGTTTAGATGTATTTTATAACTTTAAAATATTAGAATCATAATTAATAACTTTAGAATTTTAATTTAATTAGATATAAATTAGTAATGTTAGAACCTTTAATTAGTTTAGGTATATTTTGATAACTTAAATTTTTTAATTTGTTTAGATCTATTTTATAACTTTAGAACTTCCAATTAGTTTAGATACATTTTGATAACGTTAGAATTTTAATTTAGTCTTAGAATTTTAATCTTTAGTTTAGAATTAATTTAGTTTAGTATTAATTTAGATTTATTTTATAACTTTTTGTTTTAGCTTTAGTTTAGTAAATTTTAGAATTTTATGTGTTGTAGTATTATTTTAGTAACTTTAGGATTTTATTTCATTTAGATTTGACTTAGTAAATTTTAGAGTTTTATTTGTTTTAGTTTTTGACTTAGTAAACTTTAGAATTTTATTTTGTTTTAGTTTTATTTTAGTAACTTTAGGATTTTATTTCATTTAGATTTGACTTAGTAAATTTTAGAATTTTATTTGTTTAGTTTTAATTTAGTAAATTTTAGAGTTTTATTTGTTTTAGTTTTTGACTTAGTAAACTTTAGAATTTTATTTTGTTTTAGTTTTATTTTAGTAACTTTAGGATTTTATTTCATTTAGATTTGACTTAGTAAATTTTAGAATTTTATTTGTTTAGTTTTAATTTAGTAAATTTTAGAGTTTTATTTGTTTTAGTTTTTGACTTAGTAAACTTTAGAATTTTATTTTGTTGTAGTTTTATTTTAGTAACTTTAGGATTTTATTTCATTTAAATTTGACTTAGTAAATTTTAGAATTTTATTTGTTTTAGTTTTAATTTAGTAAACTTTAGAATTTTATTTGATTTTATTTAAGTTAACTTTAGAATTTTAGTTGTTAGTTTTAGTTTAGGGACTTTAGAACTTTATTCTATTTAGAATTAGTTTAATAAGTTTAGGATTTTAGTTGTTTTGAATTAGTTTAATATTCTTTTAGAATTTTATTTGATTTAGATTTAGTTTAGTAACTTTGAAACTTTTTTATTTTAGATTAGCAACCTTGGAATTTTTATTTAGTTTAGATTTAATTTACTAATTTTAAAATGTTTAATTTAGCTTAGATTTAATTTAGTAATTTTAGAACTTTTTTTGCAACCTTAGAATTTGTAGTTAGTTTAGAATTTTTTAGTAAGTAATCTTAAATTTTTAATATAGTTTAAATAACTTCTTTAGATAATTAGTTATATTCTCTTTTACTTTATTTATTTAAATATCTTTGTCATTTCAATTTCTCGGTGCCTCTTGACCATTAATTTGTTTTTGTCAGATTTATTTTCTTGTGAACTTCTGAATATTTATATTTTGATGTTCATTTTATTTTGCTTACTCCAAGGGAAAGAATTAAATTTGTTGACTTCATGTCATCGAACACATCTCATCCGATCGTGCGAATACCCTCATTCATTTTTTTTTGCTTATTTACTATTTTTTTAAAACTTAAGATAATTTTCCCAAAAAAACTCCATTTTCAAACTCACACCTTTTAAGTCAAAACTTCGACACTAGGTCGTCGTATCTTCAAAAATCTCGTCCATACCCATCTTTTAGCCAAACGAATCATTTTAATCAAACAAACAATTTTAACCAAAAAAACAGATATTTCAAAAGGTTCCTGCGGAGTACCGCAGATGCATTGGGTGCTAATACCTTCCCATTGTATAACCAACCCCCAAACTCTCGATCTCTTTTAAAAACGCATTGTATTTTCATTACTTTTAAGTATTATTTTACATTGCATATTTTAGGGTTTTATTTCGCACTTTTCCCTTTTCCCTTGGAAATAATAAAGCGCGGTGGCGACTCTTGCTTTTGTGAGTCAAGTTAATTAATAGCTTGATCTCCGATTTTCACCGCTACAGAATTGGCGACTCTGCTGGGGACAGATTGACCTCTTGCTGGTCCATCCCTAAGAGGGTTAAGCCTAATTTGTTTTATCTGTTTTATCATTATTTGATTGTTTGATTATATGTATATATTATGATTATTTGGGTGTTGATAATATTTACAAAGGACAAGTCCTATACCCGGACTAAGTTACACTTAGGAATAGGACGGGCGGTATAATCATGTTAACTTTGAGGGAGTAATCCCGAAGAAGGAGGCATGAGATCCCCCACTCAGTGGAAGGCCCTTTTGAACGTAATATTTGTTTACCGAGTAATCGGGAAGACATTATTATTTTCGACCTGGGAGCCAGAGAAGCTGGGAACCGTAGAACCCTAACCCATCTTGGCCTTTTAGGTGTAGCGCGGAGATTATAACAGAGTAATCCGGAAGTAATTGTTACGCGATGCTACGCTCGGATGAGTTTCTCTTGAGAATATTGCTGATAATTGAGTAATCAAGACGTTGGTAATATCCGAAGGAGGAATGTAGACTCCGGGAACTCTTAGAGCCTTGTCCTACAGGTGTGATTAAACCGTTAGTACATACCTTGGGGGTGTTCCTTACCTTGACTCCATGCTCGTGACGTTGAACCTTTCGACTTTATTTGTGACCTTGCTTGTGGTTGTTGCATAGCCATGCATTCATGCATCCATGAAACCCTTTTCACTTGACTTTGAAGGAATTTGGAGGTCTTTCTTTGTAAACATCACAAGTTTCGTCAAGCTCAGTGGATCTTGGGTGTTGATAGGGCGAAAACCCTAATCCACCAAAATGGATGATTGATCTTGATGATAACTTGATCAACGTTTGGAGCCAATTTAAAATTCATCTTCTATCTTCATACTTTGATGTTTACAACTTAATATCTTGAGTTCCTTGAAAATCAAATAAAAACTCTCTTTTGCATATCATACATCATTCTACATTTTTTGTTTCACTTTCAAAGGTCTTTTTCCAAGTCTTATTTTTTTCCTTTGGTCTCACTAGTACAACACTCGCGCTAAGAGGACAATGGAGAATATCAAGCAAGAGGTTTCTGAACTCCGTAGAGAGGTGACTAATTTGAAAGCTGGTATGGATCACTCAACTGTTTTGGTTGAAATTTTGGTTGCTTCCCAAGTCAATCCTTCTAAGAAGGAGGAAGCGATGATAAAAGTCTTCACTGAAACTCTAAAATCATTCTCTCATGAGAAGGTGATGGTTAATGCACCTAATGACTTTCCTGACAAGGTGAATGTGGGAGTGCATCTAGAAGAAGATGTCGGAAAGGGATGTTTATATGAAGATGGTGGCTCAGCTAATGGTGTGAAGAAGTTTGATAATAAATTTTCCAAGAAGAGAACCAGAGGAAGAAATAATCATTGTCAGAATCATCATGTTTCTCCTATTCATCAACAGAATCAGCAAGTTCCTAATCAGAGGAAAACCCAGTTTGATCCAATTCCAATTACCTATACAGAGTTATTCCCTATCCTGATGCAGAGGAATTTGGTTCAGACCCGACCTCCACCGAAGGTTCCTGAGAAGATACATTGGTACTACAAAGCTGATTTGGCTTGTACTTTTCATCAAGGTGCTCCTGTGCATGACTTGGAGGGTTGCTTTGCTTTGAAGATTGAGGTTCAGAAGTTGGTCAGAAGTGGTATCTTGTCATTCAAGGACGTTGGTTTTGAAGTTCAAATCAAGCACGTGCCGAAGAGTAAACACGATTGGTGGTCACTTTGATTTTTGAAGGATGTTTTCGGTGATTCAAATCCAGATGGAAAGTCTTCCCAGATTATTAACTTATTTCTGCTTTTAGTAATTTTTCTTGTTTATTAAAACATTGTTTGCATGTAAGAACTTGTTTGCATCTGAATGATTATCTTAATACAATGGGTATGTTTGTCTTGAAGAAATTCATTCGTTTCACTCATATTTGTTTTCAAATTCTAAAATTTCTTTTGGCATTATGATACCAACTTGTCGCCCATTCTCTTGCCTAGGCAGAGATTGAAGGGAGGATGATGATCTAAAGAACACAAAATCTCTGGTTGTTTGCTTTTGGATAAAATCTTGCTGATGATGTACAGGCATTGTTTCAAATCCCTAAACACCGGAGATATAAGGAAGATAATCCCTTGCTAACCCCTTTTGAGCCTTTGAAGCAGAAGTTTCTTTTTTTATATATACGAAAAAACCTTGAATTTTAACCTGGGGCAGGGTAGTTTTTAGTTAATCTGACTGAGTGTTCGAAATTCATAAGGAAGATGTTTTTTGAAGAGAAACTACGAGGGCTATCCTTCATGTATAATGAATCTAGAGGATGTGGAACCACAATGTTATCCCTCATTCATCAAGAAACGAGGCAATCACAATCCTCTCAACAAGCAAAGACAAGCTAATGTCACACATTTTGTTCAAAAAGTCAAAAATCGAGAAAAAAATAAAAAAGCCTGCTAAGTCAAAAAACATGAAAACATGTGACTTAGGCAAAATTAAGGCATCCCGCTGGACTATCAATTCAAAAGAATTAGTTCAGGCAAAAGTTAGGGA